TTATTTCAAATAAAAATAAGTGGTAGTAATATTATCGATCACTTTTATTATTGCCTTTAAATTACTTATGCATATTTTTAATAATAATAATAATAATAATAATAATAAAGCTATAAGAGATTACATGGTGAGCATTCGAAAGCTAAATGGTGCGACTAACTTATTGGTAATATTCATTCACCTTCATAAAGAAAAAAAGTTTAAATAGGCAAGTTTTATAGAAAATATGAAAAAAAAAAAAAATCTTACACACATATGAGAAATTCACATTTCTCCAGCATCCAATGCTTTGTTCATGTCTCCAACAATTTTTCCTAATATTTCATAGTGCTCTGTATTTTTTTTAAATATGGCATCTAAAAATTGTGGATTTGAGAAAAAATCAAAAACGTGATTGATTCGAGTGATTGATTTTCCAGTCAAATGATTTTGAACCAATTGAAGAAGGCAAGAAAGGCATTCTTTAATAAGTTTTAAAAGATATGTTCGATCATAACTAAAATCAACCTAATGAAAAATACATAGAATTTTATTTAAAACAAGTTAAAACATGTCATAAAGAAAAAAAATTATTATTATTATTGTTTACCTCGTAAAAACTTATTACAGCCATGGCAGCTTGATGAAATTTATTTTTAAATTTTTCAGCGTGTTTCACTTCTTCAGAGGTAAATTGATTATTTCTATAGAGCACGGCAATTTTAATGACTATTTTAATTATATTTTTAACAATTTTTTCAGCTTCTTTTTTGTTTCCAGTCTGAAAAATAAAAAATAGAAAAAGAAAAATCGAATATTGATACATTTTGCTCGAAACATTCATTTGCGATTTGAAAATGTTACATGACATTTTAATTTCAGGTATGTGCTTTGGAATGCATTACACATGTTAATTTTTTTTCATACTTACATAGCTTTTAGCAAGTCTATACACATTATCGAGTAAATTTGCTGAAGTATCATCGATAAAAACTTTGGCAACATTTTTAGAAGCCATATGACTCAGAATTTTTTTTTGAGCTCTAAGCCCGATATCTCTCGCTTTAAATCCTTCCATGACTGAACAAAGAAAGAAAAAAAAAAAAAAAAAAAAAAAATTTGCATTCATTCCATACCATAAAAACAATAATTTATAGATGTTTAATTATCTTACCTATTTGAAAATAATTTCTGCTATACAAGACACATCAGTAAGTGTGCAAACTTGTTAATGAGTGAAAATGAGTATTAACGATATTTTAAAGAATGAAAAAAATTGTGCCTAAAAATAATAAATAATATAAATAATAATATATACACTAATGCAAATAAAAAATAATTTCATTAAAAAAAAACAATAGTGTATGATAAATAATAATAAAAAAAAAAATCAATTCAATCGAAATTTATGTACTTTAAAAAGCGAAATGTAAAAAAAAAAAATAAAAAAAATTACATGTCATATCTTTCATTATCCAATGATAAGCGATCCAACATTCCAATTCCAAAGCTCTTTGTAACATGATTTATACTATGAAGAAACAATTGAAAAAATTTTCTGGTAAAATTCTAAAAGTAAAACAAAGAAAATTAAAATCATGAACACCATGAGAGAGAGAGAGAGAAACTGAGTGAGTAGTTACATAACACATTAAAAAATAAAAAGTTAGATATAATAATACAGCTGTTTCACAAAAAACAAATTTATTAAAAACATAAAAAAAAAACTTAATTAATTTTTATAATAATATAATTTTGTATTTGATTTAATTAAGGTCTAAAGTTCAGTTAACCTTTAAACAAAATATCTAAATTTAAAAAAAAAAAAAAATTGTCGTTTAACTTACTTACTACCAATCTTAAAAGATATTTAAAAAGTTAATTATGATAAGAGTAATGTAATTTGTCGAGTAATTAAATATATGAGGAAAACATTTTTAAAAGAAAAAATGATTATTATTATTATTATTATTGGTATTACCTCATGAGATCAATAATAAAAGAAAATCACAACGAATTAAATATGATATCACATTTGAGCCGACTCACATGAAATAAAGAAAGTATTTACTTAGACAAGAATTTAATTTGCATTGCGCATTTAGATTTTCAATGTTGGTACAACGAATCAATCTAAATCCACTTTGCCGGAGAGTTGTTGCATTAGTACAAGGTTTGAAATATAAAATTTTTTTTTTTTTGGATTTTATTGCTTTTATTCACACATTTATATTATATATATATATATTAGTTTTGAGATCTTATAACAAATCTTATATTATTATATAACTTGAAAAGTTTTACTTAAGGAAAAACAGAAAAAAAAAAAAAAAGTTTTCCTTTTTTTTTTTTTTTTTGGGCTATACGGCGACATTGCGCTTGCGGGTAAAACAGGGAGGGGCGCTGAGCAGCTGAGTGTCAAAATCGTGTCGTGTGTGTGTGTGTGTGAAAAAGTTTTTTTTTTTTTTTTTTTCTAAAATTTTTTATATAAAATTTATATATATATATATTAAAAAGTGTTCCGTTTATGTCTATTATAATTAAGGTAGTAATTACAGTGCCTTTATCGGATTATTAATTGAAAGTGTTTTGTTTTTAAATTATTAATTATTATAAAATGACATATTGGTGAGTTAACAATTTTTTTTTTTTTTTTTTTTTTTATATTTGCTATATATACTTTTGACGTTTTTGTAAAAATTCAAAATGGTGGTTGCGGGGTGTGGATGACCGAGAAAAATTTTATTTATTTTTTCTCCTTAATCACATCCGACTCTTTATATTTTCTATTTATTTTTTATATTAATATTTTTAAATTATTTTTTTTTTAAAATTTCCGTCAAAAATTTTGTCACATTTTAATTGTTTTTGGAAAACCGCTAAAGCATTAAGCAAATATTAAAATGTCTTCTTTTAAAAAACTAAATTTAAAATTTTTAAATTTTTTCAAATTTTTTTCTTTTGTTTTATTTCATAAAATATCATTTTTAATTTCATACTTTCATACTTAAAATAATAACATACAACAAAAAAAGTTTTAATAATTTTCTAAATTTTTTTGGTATTTAATCGAATTACTTTCTTTTCTTTAATTTATATATATAAAAATTATTATTTTTTCATTTAATGTCTAAAACAATTGTGTGTTAAAATAAAATTTAATTTATTTATTTTATTTAATTTGAGAATGTTTATTTTTAATTTTATTTTTATTAATACTGTTGCAGTTATTTTCAAAAAAAATAATCATTCCATATTCTTTTTATTTTTATTCGTTTTAAACTTTTCGATTGTAGAAATCTTTACGAGTGAAGGATTATAGAATTAATTTTTTTTTTTTTGTATAAAAATCCATGGGTGTGATTTTTCTTATAAGTAATATTATTATTATTATTATTTTATTAGGTAAAACCATCCATTTGATAAATTAAAATTCCAATGTATGTTATTAAATCCAATTATTTATCCCTCACCCAACTCGAATCGTGGAAAAATTTCTATTTTCTATTAAATACTGTACCTAATGTCGAATCGATAAATTGTACAGGTAGAGATGGATAAATTACATAATTCTATTTGTTTTATAAACTTTATTACTTCTTTAATAAGTATATATATATATTTAAAACAATCATAAATTAAACAAACAATCAAAAAATTTAAAAAAAAAATTGCAAAATTATCTAAAGTCGAAAATTAATTATGCAACACACAATTTACTCGTCCATTTTTAATTACATGTAATTTTTTTTTTTATATATTTATTTATTTTCTTATTTAATTAACAATTTCCACCTGTAATTATAAGTTAAATAATAATAATAATAATAATAATAATAATAAATTGCAAATTATATATATTTAAAAAAAAAAAAATCCATATCTAATAAAGTTTTAAAACGATTACATGCGGTTAAGCCGACTCACCTTGTTTAAAAAAAAAAAAAAAAAAAAAAAACGTTTGAAGTTCTCGGTCAAAGGCATCAAGTCTGTCATCAGGTGCCAAAGTTAGAGGAGGAGGAGGAGGAGGAAGAAAAAACGAGGTGACTAGTTCTTTTGCGAACGAATATGTCCCAATTTATTAAAGAATTTATTATAATAATTAGGGGTCTTGAAATAAAATAAATGAATAAATTTTATGAGATAAAAATAAATTATTTATATGTTTTTACATACATACATACATGCACCATGCACACACGAATTCGTTTATTCGTACTGATAAAAAAATTTTTTTTTTTTTATGCCAATGTCAGTTGTCATAAAAAAAAAAAAATTCTGTGTCAAATTCACCACTCCGAACTCTTCTTCAATTCGATTTACAATTAAATTATTATTATTATTATTATTATTATCTAAAATAATTTTCTTTCTCTCTCACTCTCTCTGTGTTCATTTTCATTCAGATTTTTACCTTGAAAATAATATGTAAAATGAAAATTTTGTTTGTTATACTGAATCTATTTTTTTTTTAAATTCAACCAACAACAACAACAACCGAACAACCAAACAACCAACCAACCAAATAATCAAGACCCGCAAAATTTTTTTTTTTTTTAAAAAACAGGTCTTATATCGTGTTTGAATTTAATAAATTCCATGCGATATTTATCAATTTATTGAGCTCATGCATGAGGTTAGATTTATTTAATGCCCCCCAAAAAAAAAAAATTAAAAATAATTAAACAAAAATTATTTTTAATTTTTTTAAAAATAAATAATACAATAGATTTTAAAAAAAAAAAAAAAAAAAAAAAAAAAATTACAAGGCCTTAAAATATAATAATAATAATAATAATAATAATAATAATAATAGTTGTTGTAGATAATTGTAAAAGAAATTTTCAAAATGGGAATCCTGTTTTTTTTTTTTTTTTTTTAAATTTTTTATCTGGTTTTAAGCGGTTGACCCTAACAAAGTATTTTTTCGATAACCCTCCAACCAGATCAAAAGTCTTTTAGTTTAATGCACTTCCCCCTGTGATCGCAATTGTGACCACCGAGTATTTTTTTTTTTTTTTTTTTTTTTTTAAATGTACTTTTAATTAGATTTGTTTGTTTTTGTTTTTGTTTGTTTGTTTATTAGGTAATGCAACCAGCAGTAATGCAGGCTCCGGGCCTCGTTCAGGCCGCGCCTGCCGTTTTTAATCAACCTTATTATAGACCAGTGACTACCGTTCGACCCATAAGGCCTCCGCCCACCCAGGGATACACGAATGTAAGTAAATATATATATATGTATATATATGAAAAAGAAAGTCGTTATAACATTGTCTTGTCTGAGTGCAGGTGATATCGTATTGTATTAGTATACTTGAATCAGAGCCAAACGATATATTAATTATTATTATTGTAGTAGTAGTATTATCATCGTCTTCAGGTACAACCTTGAACTTGTGCCATAAAAAAGTCAAGGACCTCGTGAGCCCAATCATAAAACAAGTTTTGCCTAACTTTATATATACTTTTTCCTAAAATTTGAAAATTTTTTTTTTTCATGCTGATCTTTCATACTACAAATACATTTATACAATTTTTGATGACTGAGACCCATAAATACAGTTTTTTTCCGTTATCTAATTACTGCCAATTAAAACTTTATTATTATTATTATTATTATTATTATTATTATTATTATTATTATTATTTTCAAAGTCAAGCAAGTATTTAATAAATTATAAAAAAACTTATTACTACATTTTAAAAAAGTCATGTTTACTTTTGATAATAATAATAATAATAATAATAATAATAATAATAATAATAAGAGGATGGATGTTATTATCTAAAGTTTAAATGTATTATTATTATTATTATTATCATTATTATTATTATTAGTTTGAAATTAAATTAAAAAGTTTTTGTTTAAAAAAATTGTTTTAAAATTCACTTGCAAGTATCGACATTATTTTATTTTTTATTTTTAAAAAACGTTTTTCTTATTATTATTATTATTATTATTATTATTATTATTATTATTATTATTATTATTATTATTGTTTTTCTCTCTCTCTCTTTTCCATTTTATTATTAGTTTGATAGATTTATAAGACTTTGAGATTGACCGCGATTTCGAAA